AGATGTGGTTTAATGATAGACTTTAATATTGTGCTTACTGAGCTGTCGTACTAGTTGCTATTCATCTTGTGCACTGCGTATTTAGTGAATATAATTCCAATTAAATGCTAGAATACAATAAAATTACGTTTATTGTTTGTAAAATTTTACTTTATAGCACTTTTCAAAATAGTACACCGTCAGCCAATAGAATTGGTGTATATCACGTGTTACAAAATTAACGTGCCTAATCCTCATTGTCATGAATCAGAACAGGGTCTCAACAGTCTGGTCTAGTCTCAAAGACTGCGGTCTTTTTGTTGAGGCTGGACCGGATCGGTCTTGTTGATCCGGTCTCAGACTGCAGGAAAATGGTCTCAGACGGTGGTCTCACGGTCTTGTCGATCCGGTCTCATCTTAAAAATCAATTTCTTCATGGATTGTCACCTGAATCAGGATTGGAACTTCCATTAGACGAGCTAGTAGAGAAACTGAGTAAAATTGAGAATATCCGGAAAACGGGAATGATATATGTGCCTAAATTAATATCTGAACATTGGTTATTTTTTCGCTTAAATATATAATATATACAACTTGAGAATGGCGCAACTATTGCGGAGCAATGACCCAAAGGGTCCAAATATTTTTGATTTACCGGAATTACTAGAACAGATCTTATATTATTTAGAAATTGATCGATCCCTCATCCCGCTTTGTTTGTCAACCACTTTTGGTATCACTGCGGTGCTCCTATTCTATGGCGTCGCGTTGAGTTTTTTACAGAAAAAGATTTTCGGAGAGGTCCATATGGTCGAAAGATGCCTCGAGCTCTTACTTGGCAATTGATAAATTTTAAAAAAGTCATGTGTGGAAAGATAAAGCCACCTATTGCTCCAAGATGGTATATCTCAGATTGGAAGGTTTAAAAATCAAAGATGCGTTGATTAGTACGATTCTACGCTCATGTCCAGATATACGCACTCTCATTCTTGATCGAAGTGATGGTTTCTCTAACATACCAATTATAGAAATTGCAAGATTTTCTCCGAAACTACAGTATCTGAGTCTTAATTCATGTATATGTCTCACTAATCGATGTATCACTGAAATTACTCACTCGTGCCCGAACTTAGACATATTGAGCTTGGTAATTGTTCAATTGGTAATGAAACTATCGAGGAAATAGCCCGCAACTATACTAATTTGAAATATCTTAGTTTGGAGGGTTAATTCTAAAATTAAATTCAAATATCCTGATTATCCGGATGATAAATGGTCCAGTTTTCATCCACATCTACATATTCCAGTCTTTGCAGGTCCATCAATAGATGGAGTAGATCTTATTTCTATAATCAATAATTTTATCAAAGAGACTGGCGGGATTACTCCTAATCATTCATCATGGTTTACAAATAATTTTATTTAGTAGCGGAGAATGGGTAATTAGGCGTTTGCCAACCTCCGGCTAATTGTTGATTACACATATACAATACACGAGAAAATTACTAGTGCCCTTGTTTAGCATTAATCGCCAATTTTAATTCAGGAAATGCCAGTTGTCCACCTTCGAACACACCCAGAGGACAAACAACACAAAGCGTATTACTATGATCTTTCAGATCCCGATGGAACTGGCAAATAGAGTTAAAGTTAATACCGACTGTTGGGAAGGTACCAAAACATTTAGGAACGTTGGAACCTAGATTAAGTTTTTTCATCTTAGCATACAACGCTGGATAAGAAACACCAAGATAATCGTTAAGTGCATCTTGATAATGGTTGAAGTTCTCGCGTCAATTTATTCACGCAACTCCGATGGTCCTGGGAATGGTTGGATGCCGTGCTTGCCGTAACGTAAGGCTCTATATTGCTATCCGTCAAACAACCAAATTGTTCTGCCAGGTTATTGATAAACTGGTTACTCTGATGACTGACATGTTTGCGAGTGTGCTCATAATAATCATCCACCGCAGATTGCGCAACTCTCGCAGATACTGGATTGCTCAGATCAAAGAAGTCAATTATCGTTTCACCAAAAACGTTTTTAATACACCATGGTTTTAAGATATATTTATAGCCGTCGAGGTGAACGTTATTTATGATTTTTTTTGTCGTTTCGTCCGCAATCACAAGTTTATCCTTTGGGTGTCGCTGGAACATTTCTGGAATTTCGTGATCTTCTAAGAGCTTTTGATTCTTCGTATGTTGATCGTCTTATTTTAGACCACAGACGTCGAGAATGATACCGGAATTTTTTTTCTAAAATAAGGAACCTTATTGAAACATGCCCACTGTCCAAACTCATTCCATAGATCTTGAGGTATTGATTCTGAGACATTGGGTTCGCGAAATATCTCTACCTTTAACAACTTCATATATTTTTCTGGTATCGAAGAGATGTCATCAATAGGAATTTGATTTGCAATTCGCCGTTCGCGTCTTTTTTTTCGATAAATGTAGACTTCGGACTGACTACTGTGGAAGGCTGGGATAAATTGGTTGATTTAAGATCCTCAGCGACAAAATCCTCAGAAACCCACTGTGTTCGGATATAATTAATGGTATCTTTTTTCGTAGATTTTCGTGTCTCTATTTGTGTTTTGTGCTAAAAAATAAAGTGATTTAATGTCGATATCAAATCAGGATTGCCGTAGGCTAGATATCTACATAAAGAAGTTCAAAGACAGCCAAAAAATCCGCTACATCGACGAATTCGAATGGAAGGGTTGCAGATTTGATCTGCGAAACTTTGTAAACATGCTTGCTTATAAGGCATAGTTTACTGAATGTTAATCGGTCACCTAACAAATATTTCCATGTAAGATTTATATATTAAAATAATTAATGAATGACTAGAGTGTTGCAAATAAATTACCAATGCTCTGAATCATGAATGTATATAAATTTTTCGATTTTTCCGCACTTTATCCAAATAATTTCGTAATAAGGAAACGAGACCAAATACGGCTTCTTTTAGAAGTTTTTCGGAATCTTCCTTCACGTGCTTTGGATCCGTGTTTTCGGGTCCACCAGATACTTCGATAAACATAATCGCCTTATTGCTTGAATTCCGTACACCCAAACCATCAGCTTGGTTTATTGTTAAATTGAATTTCGGAAATATCTTCTTCACTTCCCTCATGCAATCCAATTCGATTTCGATCCAGTGAAACTTGTATTCTTTATATGCTGATTGGATTGCTTTGAACAAGGGAACGATCCTTTCAACAATAAATGTACGTTCACCGATGTTTCGTTTTAATGGGCCTTCCTTTGTCGTGAAATAACTAACCAAATCAATATAAAATAACAAATATATCAGTAAATTTATAAGCCAAGGAAAATAAATAAAATATGAATTCATATATACAAGTCGTAAAGAACAAATTCGCAGATTTGACGAAATTTATGATCCTCTAGTCTTGCCTCTGTACTCAAAGGGTCATGATTTCTTTCTCCTTTGATGACTAGATTAAGAAAACTTTAATAAATACAATTTGCCATCAACATATAAAGAAATTAATGATAACTTACTGATAAAACTGTTACAAGCCAATTACGAATTATGCTAGAAATTTCTACCGAAGTATGATTGTCCTTTATGACCGTTCCTTGATCATTTACATTTATCTTTATATGATTTTGTAGATAGGTAACGGATTCTTTAATAAGCACTGACTTTTGAGGAGTAACCTGTATATTATCGACATTAGGTCTTGGCGGTGGAGTTCTCGGAGTTTGGGTGGTAGGGTTTGTAACTATCACAATCGGTAATTGTTCTTGATTTATGAATCTTGTGATATTGTTACATCGCTTGATATAGAATTTAATGACCTGGCCTGAATTTGTGACAATTGGGTAATGGGTGGCAAATTAGTATTTAATTACAACCGCCAATAAAAAATCAACCAAACATCTCCGAGAAAATCTTATACTTACACTTCTGTTATCACATTTCGCTGTTACTTTTGATTCCGGCTGTTTTCCTTTATTGATCTTCCGCTAAATTACATGTAATGTCTTTTAATATCGATTTACATGCTATCACTTTTGCAATGGTGTTTACCTACCTTTTTTTTCTGATCATAGTCCGAATTGGAGGAAACAGAAGAGTTATCACTTGGTTCATACTACTGTATATCGCTTTGGTCACAAAAACGTATTGCATATCAATCAATCCAATATCAACTTACATCATTATCATAATCAGATTCATGCCGTTTTCTTTTATCGATCTCCTGTTAAAATTACACAGACATCTTTTAATATTAATCCATATGCCACCATTACATCGGTACTAATTACCTTCTCTTCATGATCCGACTCAGAAAGGTTAGTTTTATTCAAATTTTCATTGTAATCAATAGGTTTAATATTTCTGAGTGTTCTTTTAGAAGTCTCCCATACTAAGAGATGCATAAAAAACAAAATATCCATGGCTAAAGAGGTTACTTAACTAATATTCCAATTTCTGAATACCACCATTCCAGAATGTAAAAATAACAAGTTGTGTGATAGAAACTTACGCATACTTGTTTTCCTATCGTGTCTGTCACTTCAACGGATACAACTTCACGTATTTTTTGTGTTTCGTCGCAATCATATAAACAATTGTCATTCTCAGTATTAGAAATGTCTGGTTGAAAAAGATCACCAGAAGGTGAAGGATACTCGGCTGGCCGTTTTCTTGATAGATGTTCTTTAAGTGAGGAAAGTATAACTTGATCTCGTACTATCGAATTTTTTAAGATCTCATTATGTTGTTCTTCCTATAAAAAAAAGCAAATATTTATTTCCATGATTCTGTATGTCTTCGTCATATGAATAAAGCTGAAGATAGTATACCATCAGGACATTACGCTCACTAATATGTTTTTGAATCAACTTGTCATCCCGGTTTGCTTGTTTTATATTCTTGGTCCAGCCCTGGGAAAAAAAGAGACAGAGTTAATATTGCTCTTAAAGATTAATAAGATAAGGTTGGGGGGGGGGGTGTCGAACCTTGCGTTCATGACTGTCGACCTTGCGTGTTCAGCTTGCCACCGAAGGCAGTCAAGATAGGCACGAACCTTGCGTTCCTGACTGTCGACCTTTCGTGTTCAGCTTGGCCATACCTTGACTATCGAGATATGCACGAACCTTGCGTTCATAACCAGTCGACCTTGCGTGTTCCAGCTTGGCCATATCTCGATTGCCTTCTTTAGCCTCATAAATGAGACTTTATCCCCTCAATCTCATTGTTAACACCAGAAAACCAAAACATACCTTCCAATAATCAACTATGGACTGTGCCGTTCTTCTGCGCAATGTATCGGAGTCATTTTGTTTAATCCATTTGAACTCGAGGTTGATATCGTAAAGAACTTTTTTAAGGGTTTCATGTTGTGAAATATGATTCAAGTAGTGATCGACAACATTTTTACATGTCCATTCACTTCTGTTTTGTTAAAGAAATCTTTAAGTTCTGGTGCTGACAAGTATAAACGCGAAAAATAATTTTCTTAAGGGGATTCATAGTTGCACAAGATTTCTATCACATGCTTATATCAGGCTTTTACGTGTCCTACTCATATTACCCTATTTCATTAGAAGCAATGATCAATAATTTTATTTTTTAAAGACCTCGAAAACTCAATAATTTTATTTTTGGTGAAAGTTCCGAACACTAAGTATGTATACTTCGGTTGTGAAGTGCGTTTTAATTCTGGGCTTGCGAACTATAATCGCTATTCTTTTGTATTGGTTTCCCGAAGAATTTATTAACATACGGAAGGCAGGCAATGTAAACTTTCAGCGGATTTGTTGTGGTTAATATTGTTAATCCATTTTGATACTGCACTATATGTATAACTGATAACCAATTTTTATTCTATCCAGAATATCGATAACAAACGAAACCAAGTTATAATTAATATTGAGATAATGTGTTAATATAGATTTAGACAAATGAGAACCTTTTTGTATAGGCAATAGTATAGAAACAGTAGATAGATTTGATTCTTTTCGATTTTTATTACGATTAATAAATTAACACGATTTTTTACAAACCAATATTTTTCATATGAATAAACTTTTGAATATAACAGTGTTTTATGTAAAACGGCAAACATGCAATCCACAATCGATTCTTTGAAAGAGTTGAATTTGTTCACCAAGTTGATGGACTTAGAAAGGAGAATTCTGAGGTCAAGGCTGAGAACACAAGATTGAAACAAGCTATAGAAGAAAATGCTACACTTAAGATCAGATTCGAAGAACTAGAAAATAAAAACAAAACAGATACCGCCAAGCTCACTGCTGAGAATGCTGAGCTTAAAGACAGGGTCACGAGATTGGAACAGAAGCAGGTCCGAATCATTACTAATGAACAAGAGGCACCTTCTACAAAAGATATTTTGCAGTCTCCGGATTATTCGAAATTGTCATTAAATACCAGATCCAGGTACAAAGTACTATTTCTTCTGAAATAAAAGATGAGCCTAAAGGACTATTATCCATTCCGTCATCTATCGAGAGCCACTGTGAAGAGGAGAAAAACGTCATTCCTGACCCCTTACCCGAACTAGAACATAGCTTGACGAGATCTGAATCTTCAACAAAGTCTGAAACAACCGCAACCTCTTTATCAATGATGATTCAGCTGAGATTCTTGAATTTATAGAAACGATACATAGAGAAAAGATTAGTAATGAAATAAGAGAAAGAAATCAGGAAAAGAAACTTCAGAGTCAAGGATCAATACAAAACACATCTTCCTCTTCCAATATACAAAATGAGGTAAATCCTGTTATCGAAATTACCCATGACCATAAGACCACCCAATCAGAACCAATTCCTACTGATCAAGCACAAAATACCGGAATAAAAATTCTATACAATGAAAGAGTAGAGCAAGGTTTAAGGCACGACTTATCTGTATTCATTAAAGAAAATAGTAATAAATTTAGTGATGTATTTGATATAAAAATTCCTGAATTTTCGTTAGAAGCAATTATAACAGGATCTAGCAAAATTACAGCACAAAATATAGCCGATTTATTTATTATAGCAATGAAAGTTAGACAAAAAGAGATTTTATGCATATGAGGATCGAATCGAAGATATTAAGTGTATAAATAAAAAATTGATGATCAATCAGCAAGGACATTGATGTATAATGAAATCAAATCACTTCTTCCAGATATAACTGATGTAAACTTGCGTCAAAGAACATTCAGAGCAAAAAAATCTATACGTTACTTATGGGAATAGGAGTAGAAAAGGTCCAAACAATAACATGTAGTGCAAGTGCAATTTCGAGTTTAACTGTGTCAGGCCAAGGTTTAATCGGCAATATTCCTCCGTGATTTCCGCCTGGTAGTACGAACATTTCCATCTGCGGCACATCGAATTTCTGCGGCAAATCGATCGGCAAAAGTGGCACAGTAGTACTAGTGATACGAAATCGGCATCGAAAATAGAATCTTAGATTAGTGTAACTTTGGCGTGTCAAATGTAACTTAGACGT